TTATTTGTGCAGAAGCAGTGCAGAAAATCCGTTAAGTAGTGAATATGTTTTGTTTTCAATATTAAGACCATAAAAATGTTGTTTATTATTATTTTTTTTTGCTAAAATTCATTTCTTACAAAAAAATGATTGTTTTACTAAAAATATCTTCTTCTTTTTTTTTTGCAAAAAAAAGAAATTTTCTTTGCAGGGGTTTATTTTGTGATGTAACACATGTTATGAAAAATGTAAATTGCGTTGATGAAAATTTTAAGGTATATGTATGCAAAATGTAATTTGTTAAGACAATCCAAATATAACTCACGTATAGGAAGATGTAATTCACGCGTAAAAAAGATGTAACTCACTCATAAGAAGATGTAACTTCATATATTATCACATGTAAACAATGAAAATAAGGAGTCTAATTGCTCAATTAATTAAAGTAAACAACTTATATGTTTTGTTTTTAGTATAAAGGCCATAAAAACTGTGTTAAATGAAAATAATTTTTTTTGTCAAAAAATCATTTTTTTGTTAACAAAATCTTTTTTGTTTGCAAAAAATTGATTTTTTGTTTCAATAACAAGAGTTTATTTTGTGATGTAACTCGTGTTATGGAAAATGTAACTCGCATATAGAAATATGTAATGCACACATAAAAAAGGTGTAATCCGTGCATGTGAAGATGTAATTCCATATATGATCACATTATTCAAATATAAATAATGAAATAAGGAGTATAATTGCTCAATTAATTATAATTGCCAAAAGATATTTTATGAACATATAAACCACACATATGAAAAGCTAATTTCATATTTTATCAAATTTAAATCAAAATAAACAAATTTAATGTTTTAAAAAACTAACAACATATAAAAGAGATAAGAAATATATTATAGAAAAAAGTGTATGAATATGAAAAATATATTATGAAAGAATGTATGAATACAAAAAAACATCACATAAAAAATAAATTTTATTGTAATTTCATTTGAAGAAAGAAAATAGAAAGAATTGTATGACTAATGACTAAGATAGAAAAAAGTAATTAATTTATTTTGAAATGATAAAAATTGGATCAGAAAATTATAATACTCTTAATACGTTCCACTGGTCATGAATTAGAAAAAAAACTATTTGAAAATAGTGGACTCAATGATTGTTAGCTTTTGATGAAGAGTAAAAAACAAAAAGAACGAAAGAAAGCTGGTGGGTTGGGGGAGTAAGAGACCGTGAGACTGTGGTGATCAAAGGAAAACGTCACCGTATTGGGATCGGTGTACCATGAGCATGGTATGCCGATCCTACAGTATAATTTAAAGGGAAAGTTCCCGAAATAGGACTAAAAAAGTTTGAAAATTCCAAAATAGGACTGTCATGTTTTTATTCTCAAAATAGGATTAATTACTGCCAAACTTGGAAAATACTGCCATGTTTAAAATCTGGTACTGCCAAAACATGACAGTAATTAGTCCTATTTCGGGAATAAAAACATGGAAGTCCTATTTTGGAATTTTCAAACTGTTTTAGTCCTATTTTGGGTAATTTAAATGGATGTTGATTTGCCTATGGTTCATACTCCGTACTAAAAGAAAGTGGGTCCTATTTGAGAAAAAATACATATACGAGATTTTCATCAGTTGAATCTCTGTTTGCTCCAGATTGGATTTCAATGGAAGGTCTCCCTATCCATTACTAGGATAACCGAGCTCTCTATGCAATTGCAGGTTTAATTGGCAAATCACAGCAACTCTGGTCAGACCTTATAATGTGGCTCAATTTGTGTTGAACTTGATCTGTCCAAAGAAATGCCACCTAAAATCTGGATTCAGGGAGGAAATGGCGGTTTTATGCAATAATGCAATGTCAAATATGAGGATAAACCGTATTACTTCCATGTTTGCTATGGACTAGGGCATGGTGACCATAACTTCCCCAAGTGCCATCCTAATGAAGCTGGAAAAATCCCACCTAAAACTCAAACTGGTGCAAGCACCAAAAACCTTCCTCAACAAATTTAAGTGAAGGCTCCCATAGCCAAAGACAAATGCCAAACAATTATTGACAATAATCTCATTAAACTGAATGAAGAAGGGGGCACATCTAGTGGACTACACTCTAAGACCCTTCAAATATCATATGTGGAATCAACTCTTGAAAAAGTTATCCCTACAACATTCATATTGAACCTGCAATTATTCCACCCTGAATGCTGACACAAATATTCCAATAACAACTTTACTCAGCATATATATACCGGGGCTTGTTTCTTTTCACAGAATCAGGATTTCTGAGCCAATTGATGATTCAGCTTTACATGAAATCGAAGCTGGTATTGATCATGATCCAGTTATTCTTGCTAAGGGATACGCCGCCACTTGAAAAGATTCTCCCCAAATGGTATCAAATACTGATCAATGGAAGGAGAAGCAAAGACCCTGCACAAAAAAGTCCCAATCACTGTAAAACAAAAGGAACTTCAAGAGGCTAAAGCAATACAAAATGGAATCAACAGGATCAATTCAATTTCTTCAAATAATGATGGTTTAATTCAGGTGGTTCGCAAGAAAAACAACAGAGGATCCATCCAGAAGCATCATCCATTACCACTCGTCAAAGTAGCAGAAAACTTACTCTAGCACCCCTTACAAATTCTCAATGAATTACCTATATTGGATAATTGGAATGTAAGAGGCCTTGTTTCCTCCTGCCCAAGGCTCTCGAGTATTATTATTTATTAGGCAGATGGATTCTCATCTTGTTATTGTAATTGAGCATTGTGTTGATTCTAAAAAGGGATAGCTCTTCAAGATTGATTTGGGCTTTTCTAATATTTTCATGCACACTAATAATAAGATCTGGCTACTCTGGAATAACACACAAATCCTCATTGATAATCTCACCTGGGATGATCAATACATACATTGTAGAGTATCTACTAAAGGTTTTCAGTTTTGGCAAGCTTCTATCTATGGCAAATGTACTCAAGCTGACAGAAAGAAACTTTGGGAGTTTTTGGTTAATTGGCATCACTCATAATGATCCTTGATCATAGAAGGGGACTTTAATGCCATTACTTCTATTGGTGAACATAAAGGAAAGAAAATCCCTGACATTAATAGCATTGAGAATTTTCAGCAATGCCTTGCTCAATGCGATTTTCTAGATCTGCCTTTTTGAGGCAATCAATATATTTGGTCTGGAGTTAGTAGCAATGGTAGAGTTTGGAGACGGCTAGACAGTCTTAGTTAATCCTCTTTTCAAGGACTATTTCAACAGAATTATTATCAAGCATCACAATAGAACCACTATTTCCATTCAGTGTGTGAATCGTATTGTGAATAGTCCTAGGTTTTTTAAATTTCAGAATATGTGGACTACTCACTCAGGGTTTCAAGACTTTGTCAGAAATTGCGGGAACTCTAAATCTTTTGGAGGAGGTATGAGGGGACTATTTCTAAAATTACAAAGCCTCAAAAAGGAACTGAAACACTCGAACTATTCTACTTTTGGAAAGATCTTTGAAGCTGTAAAAGAATATGAAGATAAAGCAACTAGAGGTAAATTAATCTTCCAAAATGATCCTTCTGAAGTTAACAAAAGCAACTAGAATCTGAAACTCAATTAAATCTCAAACACAAACAGGAAAGATCATTTTGGAAACGAAGAGTTAAAATCAGATAGATTAAAGATGGCCAAGCTAATACTAGTTTTTCACATTTATGTTCAAAGCCACAGAAGAAGACAACGAATCAGTAATATTAAATCAGAGGGGGGCATCTGGTGTACTGAGACAAAAGATATAGGTAATGCTGTTGTAGAATATTACCTAAAACTCTTCTCTTAAGAAACTGTTTCTTCTGATTTTGAGGACATCCTTGAATGCATTCCTTGTATCCTGCAAGATGAGAATAATCTCAATATCATCACCGAACTGCCATCTAATATATATAGAAGTCGAAAATGCAGTTTGAGCCTTCTGACAAAAATAGTGCAGCTGGTCCAGATGGGTTTAATGACCAATTTTTTAGAAGTTGCTGGGAGGTGGTTGGTCAGGATGTAGTTCTTGCAGTACAGGAATTCTTTTTGGGCAATAAAATTCCCCAAGCAATGTCTAGGTTTTTAATTTTGCTTATTCCTAAATCTGATAGGCTTCAGAACTTTTTTGATTTCATAGCAACCTCTCCATTATTATCAATGGCCAGCCTTTTGACTTTTTTCAGAATCAGAGAGGGGTAAAACAAGGAGACCCCTTATCTCCCTACTTACTCATTTTTGGCCTTTGAGGCATTTTATAATGCTGGCCAAGGAGCTCCTATCATTACTCGTCTTGATTTTGCTGATGATTTGTTTCTTTTTGTCAATGGAAGCGCCAGATCCCTCATAAGACTCAAACCCTTCATCTCTCTTTACGAAAGAGCTTCAGGGCAGCTTGTCAACTACAACAAAAGCCAAATTATTATTGGTAGAAAGCTGCCACTTGATAGAATCAAGAACATGGAGAACACTCTTAAAATGAAATGCTCCAATTTACCTATCAAATACCTAGGGATGAACCTGCATAAGGTATTAATAGAATTAAATATAATATTGTAAAGATCTTATCAAAATCTTTGATAAAAAAAACTCATCAGCTGGATGCAAAGGACTTTTTGATAGGAATAAGTAATGATTGGGCCTATTCATTAAATAATTAGTGGGCCTATTCAATAAAGAGTATAATAGAAAGGATAAAAAGTCTATTATTAGTTAATAGTTCCTTTTATCCCTGCGTGGATAAGGACTATAAATAGAAGGGGAGTCAGCTAAAATAGGCAGGCTGTTATTTGGTTTGGACTTGGACTTTGGAGACTGGGCATCTCGAATCGTCCATCACTGTATACCTATTTCGGTTCTTCGCTATTCAATAAACACGTACACGCTTCTACTTCTTTTCTGCTTCATTTCTCTGGATCTGTTATTGTTCTTGCTTGATTACTACCAGTGCCTTATCATTGGTATCAGAGCCGTCTGATCCTGGAGATCGGATCTGTGATACGAAGGTAACAAAGTCTGTAGCAGTGGTGAATGGTACGAACCAGAGCGAAGATGGATATACGCGTGGATAACTTGGAGCGGAATCTGGCTGAGATGCGAGAGGAACAGGATCGGAAATTATTGGAGGTGCAGCAGGAACTCCGATCAGCGATGAATGATCAGCGGCTGGCGATGGAAAATCTGGCGGCATCCATGGCCGCGATGAATGAGCAGCTGCGGACCAGAGAGAGATCACGATCTCAACCTCGACATCATCTGCGATCTTCTCGCAGCCCAACTACTTCTGGAGGTAATCCGAACTTGTCGCATATCCAAAATCCCCCTGTTGGTAATCATGTGTTGTCGCCTATACCAAATCACAGAAGGCCAGATGATATGTATCGATTTCCAGTATATACGGGTAGAAAAATTGATTTGCCTGTGTTTGATGGAGAAGGTGCTTACAGTTGGATTGTAAGGATGGAAAGGTATTTTCGTCTGAACAATATTAATGAAGAAGAACAGGTGGAAGCTGCTGTAGTGGCCATGGAAGGCAGAGCTATCAACTGGTTTATATGGTGGGAACACCAGAATGAAAGGAGGACGTGGGAGAATCTGAAGACTTCTATCGTTCGCAGGTTTCAGCCAGACTTAATTCAGAATCCATATGGGCCGATGCTTAGCCTGAAACAGACTGGCACTGTAAGGGATTACAGGGATGAGTTCGAACTGGTGATAGCTCCCCAAATCAATGTTGACATGGAGATATTGAAGGGAATTTTCCTTAACGGCCTTAAGAATGAGATCAAAGCTGAACTCAAACTGCATAATTCCACTGCTTTGAATGACATCATGGATATGGCCCTTCTGGTTGAAACTAGAAACGAAGCTATCTATCTGAAGACTAATGGTGAAGATAAAGTAACTTGGAAGGAAAAGGGACCTAGTGCTACCAAACATCAGACTTGGGTGGATGGATTTAAAGCAAAAATAGGGAACTCGGGGTCCAACAATAATGGCAAAGGTGCAGCTGAAAGCATGGATTTCAATTCTTGGTTTGAGAAGATGGGAAAGAAGGTGACTGAAATAAACAATTCAGAAATCAGAAAGGTAGGTCCTCAGTTATCCCAGGAAGAGTTTCAGGAAAGGAGTAGGAAGGGACTGTGCTTTAAATGTGGGGAGAAGTGGAGCAAAGAGCACAATTGCAAACTGAAAAATTATAAGCTAATGATGGTTGAAGATTCAGATGGAGAGAAGGAGCATGATAAGGATTCTGAAAGTTCTGAGGAGGAAGAAGTTACTATGGAGTCCAAATCAATGCAATTATCCTTCATGAACCAAGAAGGAACACCTTCTATGAGGGCTTTTAAGGTACAAGGGATTCTGAAATGGGTTAAGGGAGAGAAGATAGTAGATGTTCTGATTGACAGTGGAGCTTCACACAATTTCATATCTCAGAAATTGGTTGGGCAGATAAGTTTACCTTATCATACCACTTCTGGCTACAAAGTGCAGACTGGCAATGGAGATGTGGTATTCAATAATGGCAAATGTGAAAAATTAATTTTAAATATGCAAGGCACTGTTATTCAGCAAAAATTTTATATAATGGAGTTGGGAGGAGCTGACTTAGTTCTTGGCATGGAATGGCTAACCAGCTTGGGGGATGTGGAAGTTAACTTTCAGAAACAAAGTATAAAGTGGCAGCAATTTGGAACAAATCAGGTCATTCAAGAAGATCCACAGTTTAACTCGACTGAAGAATCACTGCAAACCATGGTACAGATCATACAGGATACTGGGGATGGATACCCTGTGTCCTGTGAAGGCAGAATTGAGGAAAGGAAGGAAGGACAACAGAAGGATCATATCAGGAAAGATATTTTGGCAGAATTTCCTTATGCCAGTTTTTTTTTCAGACCCCAAATAGCAGCAGGTTCTGCACCATTCATATCCTTGTGTGCACCTATCATTTGTGGGTTACAAGGTTCTTATTGGAAAGTCTTCTTAAAGAATTCTGAAATGGAATCTGCCATTAGCATTGATCAGTTCTTGGATATTCATGTTGATCGTATCAGTACCAGGGAGACTAGATTTTCAAGGAGTGTAGCAGCTGAAATCAAAGAGCTAGGGTCATATCTTGAAGGACTACACAAGACTGCTAAATTCCAGATTCAGGACAACAAGGAGCTCTATGAAAACGCTGGGAATGCCTTAGAGAAATACTGGTCTGAGGAAGTGAGGATTAAAGGTCCAATGCTGCTGATAGGGATACAAAAATCCACACTGTATTGGGAAGGGAGAAGTGCAAGAAAGAAGTACAAGTGGGAGATCATGGCTGACTCCTATCACCCACCTTGAGGACAAGGTGGTTGTTTAGGGGGGGAGTATTGATAGGAATAAGTAATGATTGGGCCTATTCATTAAATAATTAGTGGGCCTATTCAATAAAGAGTATAATAGAAAGGATAAAAAGTCTATTATTAGTTAATAGTTCCTTTTATCCCTGCGTGGATAAGGACTATAAATAGAAGGGGAGTCAGCTAAAATAGGCAGGCTGTTATTTGGTTTGGACTTGGACTTTGGAGACTGGGCATCTCGAATCGTCCATCACTGTATACCTATTTCGGTTCTTCGCTATTCAATAAACACGTACACGCTTCTACTTCTTTTCTGCTTCATTTCTCTGGATCTGTTATTGTTCTTGCTTGATTACTACCAGTGCCTTATCACTTTTTCTCAAGGTAACCGGCTCTTGCTTATCAAACATGTGCTTTCCTCCATTCCTTTACACTTCCTTTCTCCTGGTCACCTACTCAAAAAAGTTAATAGCATTTTTTAAAGGAAAATAGTTGCATTCTTTTGGGAAAGGACAGGATGACAGATATGATTCCACTTAATTCAACAACAACAACATTCAAACCTTAATCTTTTGGGATTAAGGCTTGGATGTTGTTGGTATTGTATCAAGTCAAATCATATTTGACATCCTATTGAGGAAGGTGGTCTTGGATTAAGATCTAATTTTTTTTCTTGAAAATGCCTTCTTCTTTAAAATATGGTGGGTTTGGTTGAATAAATCATCCTTCTGGTCTCATTATGTGCATCTCTGGTATCCTAAGGGCTCCAGTATGTCTCCTAAGATTTCTGACTCTGCAATCTGGAAGCGTATTTTTAATGACTCTCCCTTACTAACAAAGATGACTCTGGTCATACAATCTCGACACCATCTGCAGATGGGAACTTTTCATTGGACCATTCTTGGTGTCCACAAGATGTACACAAAATGTGTTCATTGTCTGTATACACAGACAATTTGACATCAAGTCCTGCTCCCTTTTAAACGAATTGCATGTGTACCCAGATAACTAGGGGGTTTTGTGTATAATTTGTGTACAACTTGTGTACACTAAGAATTTTCCCTTTTCATTAGCCTCTTCATATAATGATGTCAAACATGCCAAGTAAGCATTATTCTCTAACATCCATATCTGGAATACTAAACCACCCTTGTCTATTTAGCTCATCTTATGGAAATTATTTCACAATTAAATTCCTTTTCCAGGGAATCTTACCACACTCCAGACCCGTGTTTTTCCCATTAGATGCCCTTTCTGTCTCCAGAGTTCTTCAGAGACCCCCCACAGTTTTTACCAATGATATGACATCTTATTAAACATATTTGGCATCATTTTATAGGACTGTTTATGTTTTCTATTCCCAAATGGGATCGCTCTTATAGACACGGATCTTTTTGTTGGTGGCTTGAAGCAAGTTCAAAAAATCTTGAGGACATATTCAAGCTTATTAATGCCAGCAATGATAATTTGGCATATTTAGAAAGCTTATACTTCTTACAATTGGGGTGATTGTAGCAACCCCTTCTCTTTTGAGAATACTATAAACCAGATGAGAAATTATGTATTTCATTGGTCTGCAGGTCTGGTTGCTAGAGCACCTCATTCCCATGAGTCACAAAAACACTCTCTAGATACGACAAAAAAAAAGTTAGGTGGGAAAACCCAAGGGAAGCCTTAAACTTAATGTGGATTAGGGGTGGGCGCGATCCGGAACGGTCCGGTAAATTAGCGAAACCCATGATGTACTCGTGAGGTTTCTAACGGTTCGGTATTGTCAGGTTCTAAGGATGGAACCATTCGATATCATGTCATTTTGGAACGGTGCAAAACGGTTCGGTACAATGCCAAAAACATGCATGCCGAAACATTTGCACAAATCTTGCAATTAGTAGACATCATCACACCGGCCAATTCACATGTAATGTTGATAACAATACAAGAAAGTGCATACTAAATACTAGAAAAGATTCAAGTGGCTGACTTTTTGTATTTAAATTCAGAAATACTCAAATAATGCAACACAATAAAGTAAAAACGTAGCGAAATGACGATACACTAGGTAAATATCATCTTTCTTAAATTCATGTTAAAAAATATAAAAAGAATATCGTTAAATTGTTGGATATACTAAAAACAATTTAACCTTCTTTTCTCTAAGTTGAATACTAGTTCTAATTTAATTCAAACTTGAACCGTAATAGCTAAGATACAACAAAAACTCATATACACAACATTACTAGAAATTAATAGTTATTATTGATTTTTACAACTTTAGCATTCTTTCATTATATACCAAGGAGGTGTTTGGAACTGATTCTGCTTCTGCTTCTTTTTTAAAAGCTGGTACCTCCCAGCTTCTAAAAAAATGGATTCTGAGAGTAAATTAGTGTTCCAGAAGTGCTTCTGGAATTTCACCCAAACACTCCAGCTTCTGCTTCTGCTCCCTAAAGGGGCAGAATCAGTTTTGAGAATCAGATCCAAACACCCCCCAAATATAACATAAATTATCTAAAAGTAAAAATAACAATATTTATTTAATACACACTTAGCTATTTTAGGGATGCATGAATACATACCTGGGCTATAAATGTTGGTCTATAAAAGATATTTATTGGTAAGGAATAATATAAAAATCTCAAAGGCCTTATTTGGGAATAGTTCGGTCCGATATTTTTCGGTTCCTAAAATCTAGGACTGTTCCGTACACGTTTGAAACGGTACGATTCCAGTTCGCGATAAAGTTCTATAGAACCGCTTAAATACCCAATATTCATATCGGTATCATTACGGGCCGGTTCGATACCGGTTGGATTAGCTTTTGTGCCCACCCCTAATGTCGATGCTTCCATATTGAATAGCTAGAGGAGCGATAATGAGAAACGAAGCTGTAAACTTAATACAATGCTGATTTTATTGTGGAATTTGACTCCTTGACTTCCATCAACCTCATCTTGTGCAAGAAACAACTTGGTCGCTTCAATAATTTGGCGTGGTGACACAGATTCGAGATATATCAAAAGGAGGCGGCCTAACCTTCAAACATTGCTTTAGAGAAGCAAACCATGTCGCCCACCTTCTGGCTCGAGAAGAGTTTGAAAATGGCAAGACTCAAATCTGGCTCTCTACTGCAGAGTTACCAATTACTGCATTTCTCCCACCTTCTTCCCACATACCAATCTGGCAAACCCTGTCTTCCACCTTCTTCCCACTTCTCATTTCCATTTTTGGAAAGTTTTGCGTGGTTAATATTGATTTACCTTCTTTACTCAACCATAACCATACATTTCTACATTATTCTCACTTTCTTAATAAGCATTCCAAGTCAAACCGGAGTATTTAATATTCATAATCAAAGAAGTATAGCCAATTTCATGGATCAATAAGCAAACATACAAATTTTATCGGAATGGAGATGAGAATATCATATGTATTATTAATGTGACAAGCAAATTTGTGCTAGTTGAATAGCAACCTCATCCATCTCTTTCAAACTTTTGACCTTTACATTTTTACTCATGACTTTGACATTTGTCCGGAGTTCTTCAGTAGCTTTTCCAAGAACAACTTCATCACAAACTCGAGCTAGATCTTCACCATGATACTTTCCAAATTCATCCCTCTTAACCTCGATTCCTACACAGATACTCACAATCAATTTAGCATTTAAAGGTTGGTCAAGATGCATGGGCATGGCTATGATTGGGACACCACATTCAATGCTCTCCATAGTAGAATTCCATCCGCAATGGCTCACGAACCCTCCTATGTTGGGGTATGATAGAATTTTTACCTGTGGGGCCCATCCTTCCACCACCCTCCCTCTATCTCCCACCCTCTCAAGAAATCCATGTGGCAGTGCCGCTTCAAGAGGATTATTAGGGTTTTCTAATGTTGTTTCACTTAATATTTTAGGAAACCTAACAACCCATATAAAGTTCACTTTACTTTTCTCTAACCCAATCGCCACTTGATGCATGTCGTATTCGGAAAGAAAATATTCACTCCCAAAAGAAACTAACACCGTCGATTTCTCCTCTTTCGTTCCTAACCATTCCATCAACGGTCCAAAACGCCCTTCATCCTGATGATGCCCTTGAACTAGAGAACCAACTGTGAAGGCTTTGGAACCTGCTAACTCGCTCACATAATCCACATACTTATTCCCCTCTACTTCTCTAGAGGTACTGAACAAAATCAAGTTTTTTTCTAGTCCACCACTATTGTTGCTTCTTCCGTGATCAATCATCTCCAGAAACCTCCCTTGGTCGTAAACGCTTAGAGAGAGTTCCGGAAAAGGGTACTCCGCGTTCCGCCGCCAAAGTGCGTGGAAGATGTAGGAACATGTGGCGGCCCCACCTGTCATGAATAGGACGGCCGGGACATTGTGTGATTTGGCTACTCTTCCTCCCCATAGCTGCAAAAGGTCATAGATCAGCAAGTCTGGTTTCACGGTGGCCATGATTTCGGAGAAAGTTGGCTCGGCCATGTTTAGGGCTTTACGGAGGGTGGAGTTGAGATGGAGTGGGAGGCCATTGGTGGTGTGGTAGTGAGGAGGGAGATCTGGTAATTCCGGCAAGTGAAGTTCCACTAACTGGATTGAAGAAGAGTATTTTTGAGGGCTCTTGTTTTTGATGAAACTAAAGTTGATTGGGGTGGAACATAAGAGGACAGAAAAGCCTCTGTCGGATAATTTCTTGGCGAGCTCCAAGTATGGCGTGATGTGTCCTACAGCTAACCATGGGAACATCATCACTCTCATGCCATTCCCAACCTTTGATGAATCCATGATGGTAATTTAGACGATCTAATCTGTCCCTTTAGTTTGTTTGTGGGTAAGGTTGTATGCAATGATCGAAATGATATTAATTGATGGAGTATTTATATACGAAGCTAGCATTTAGCTAGCCATGAGTACGTATACGTGCTTTTTTTCAAGTCAAAGAAACTTTGCTGACATCTATTCCTCCATTTTTTACATCCTTAATTCACACTCGGTAGAATTATAAAGTGTGTAAATAAAATTAAGAGTTTTTTTATCAGAATATTACTAATAAAAACATATTCACATAAATATGACTATTCATTACTACAACATAGTATTGTGGTAACTAAGTTCAAAACTTGAACATAAATCACTACGATTTCATTACTACTCTAGTAACTAGTCATATTTTTGTAAATCATCTTTATTTTGGTCATATTTATGTAGTTATTTCTAAAATTAATCGTCTTTTTCCCCAAACTACTGAAAAAGTGAAAATAGTACGAGTATTCATTTGGAGTAGTTTTATGCTTCAAAAGTTTTAGGATGTTTTTACTTAGACTATAAATAACGTAAAGCCCGGTGCAATACCCCGGTAGCGTGTCAATTTGATACGGAGTATGAGTTAAATAGGAAAATTTTATGTAGTACTCCCTCCGTCCCTAAATGTTGTTCCAATTGCGGATTACGAAGGTTGACCGACGATAAAGTTAAATGATCCCTGTGAAAACTCGGATTATTTTTAGTAAATAAAATTTACATATTCAGAAACTACATTAAACCCGCTACAAAGTCTGCAAAAAATAATTCAACTTTTATAAAATTTTGATACAAAAAATTAGGGGTTAAAGAGTGATTTAAGTTGACCCTCGATAAGTGAAATGTAACTTCTTTTAGGGACAGAGAGAGTAATAGATATTGTGAATTATTCAGATGAACCAAAGTTAAAATAATTCCATTTTACTTTGATCCAAACACAAACAATAATGACTATATATTAAATTATCACCATCCTACATTATATATTTAGTCTATATCAAGAATTTTTATTGCGGCAGCGCTGCGATTGCGGTTACTGCAGTTGCTGTTATTGTGGTCGTTGTGATGCATATTGCTGCTGATGCGGTGTATTTTAATTTTATGCTCAAATAGATCATTGAACTAACTTAAAGTGTTCAATTAAGCTATTATATAAGAGGTTCTGCCCGACCGTCGCTAATTGGTGCGGTTCCCAGTGGAATTTTTTGATGAAATCTTTTGAACATCTTCTTCATTAAGTCTAGTTTACCCATACCAAATTTCAGCTAAAAATGTACGAAATGTACTGCGCTGTTTGACTTCGCAGTTATCTTAAAAAAATCATTTGACTGCCTTCCCGGTTGATTTTTTAGCTGAAATTTGGTATGAGTAAACTACACATAATGAAGAAGATGCTCAAAAATTTTCATAAAAACATTTCACCGGGAACCGCCCCAATTGGCGACAGCCGGGCAGAATCTCCTACATAAGGGCTAATTGAACACTTTAAGTCACTTCAAGGGCCTATTTGACCCTTTAGCCTAATATTTTTACTCACGTTATAAACCGAGCGTATTTATTCATATAATTAAGCATATTATGTAGATGTTATAAATTAAATTAATGTTGTAATATAATTTAAAAGTATGAATTATTTTTTATATTACATTTGCATTTGCATCATTTAATCAGTTAAACATTGATTGTAAAATTAAAAATGTCAATATGTATTATGCGAAGTCAATAAGAGAGTCACATGTAGCATTTCATAATTCAAGTTTACTATGTTTGGCTGACATAAGTCTATAGCTTTTAGCTTTTGTACTATTTAAAAAGTCTCTAAAAGTTGTTAGTTGTTTGTTTGACATGCCAATTTTTAAGAGCTTTTAAAAAAATAAAAGCTCTTTTTTGAGATGCTACAGGTAGTAGCATCTGAGAAAAGTCTGTGGCTTTTAGCTTTAATAGATCCTAGCAGCTTGTATACCAAACAGAACTAAATCAAACAGTCAGCTTTTTACCAAACAGCTACCACCTTTTACTTTTAAGATCTTTTCAGTCATTAAAAGCTAACAGTTACTAAAAAGCTTACAAAAAGATCTTTTCAGCTACTTGTACCAAACATAGAACAATAAGCTATAAGAAATCCGATGTTTTATACTTTTTTTGAAATATTAACTCAAGAGTGTAAAACTTAATTATGAAATCTTAGTTTTAAGATTTGAATCTACTCAAGAAAACGTTTTGGGCTTTATCGATAAAAAAGTTCTAAGCTTAAAATAAAATCTCCATCAATTGGATCTTCATATTTTTTAGTTTTACATATGCAATATTGGTGTCATATGAAAGATAAAAAAATATATAAAATTTAATATAATTTTTATGAAAATTGGAGTACAAATAAAAAAGTTATAACACTTTAAAAATAACAGATTTTTTCTCCTATCTTTTCTTCAAATGAGTTAGCCTAATTAAGGTGAATAGATTGTGATGGAGAATGCAATAAGAAACGGCGCAGCTAGGGTCTGCGAAGTTTGGGTCGGCGACTTCTCTCGTTCGACATTTTCCTCTGGCCACGACAATTGCGAAGCTTGGTTTATTCTTCAAGGCTTTTGCTCGAAAGCTGCAGGGGCAATCGATTTTGAAGGCTGCCACGGAAATTAGGAAGAATCGATTACGAAGAGCAGCAAGTTCTGAACTCTCAAAGACTTTTTACAGGAGGTTTTTATTGGTGGACTGCTTCAATTCACTTAGTTTATTGGAGGAGGAAGAGTTGCGCCGTGACACCATGGCCAATGTTTGGGTCGGTACGTTTCTCTTTCTTTCGTGACACCATGGCCAATGTTTGGAAGCGTGTTAGAGGTGTTACTATTACTGAGATAGGTGCACGATGGTACATGTTTCAATTTTACAATGAAAATGATATGATCCGTGTTCTGGAGGAAGAGTTGCGCCGTGGACCTTCGATTAGAATCTTATTGTGTTTGCTAGGTTAAATCAGGGTGATTTGCTGCCGAAAGTACGGCTAAATAAGGCTGACTTCTAGTTATAGATTCATGATGTGTCATTTCATACGTTTCCCTCACAATTATCCATTGTGACCGTTGAACCGTGAATTAACTTTTTGACATTGATTTAGTGATTTAATCTTTATCGTTTCGTTTATTGGAGGAGGGTCGAGCTGGGTGGGCAATTCCACATGGAGGGTAATTATGAGGCCATGAGGGTAACGTAAGTGGTGTGGTCGTATGGAATAATGCTGTGTTTGACTGTTTTGGTATGTTTTATAAAGTTCAATAGCATAATAATTTTTTACGTTTTATCTTCACATGCCTGTGAAATGAGGTCATGCATGACACTTAATTGAGGTCATGGCTAAGGTGCTGTTGTGTTCGTCTTATTCTTATTACTCATTGCTTACTCTTATTTTATTCAGATCAGATTAGATCAGATCAAAAAAATTCAGATCAGATCAAATCAGATCAGATCAGAAGCATTCAGATCAGATCAGGTCAGAAAATTTCAAACATGATTTATCACTTTTTTTATTATAAAATAATAATAATAATAATAATAATAATAATAATAATAATAATAATAATAATAATAATAATAATAATAATAATAATAATAATAATAATAATAATAATAATAATAATAATAATAATAATAATAATAATAATAATAATAATAATAATAATAATAATAATAATAATAATAATAATAATAATAATAATAATAATAATAATAATAATAATAATAATAATAATAATAATAATAATAATCATAATAATCATAATAATCATAATAATAATAATAATAATAATAATAATAATAATAATAATAATAATAATAATAATAATAATAATAATAATAATAATAATAATAATAATAATAATAATAATAATAATAATAATAATAATAATAATAATAATAATAATAATAATAATAATAATAATAATAATAATAATAATAATAATAATAATAATAATAATAATAATAATAATAATAATAATAATAATAATAATAATAATAATAATAATAATAATAATAATAATAATAATAATAATAATAATAATAATAATAATAATAATAATAATAATAATAATAATAATAATAATAATAATAATAATAATAATAATAATAATAATAATAATAATAATAATAATAATAATAATAATAATAATAATAATAATAATAATAATAATAATAATAATAATAATAATAATAATAATAATAATAATAATAATAATAATAATAATAATAATAATAATAATAATAATAATAATAATAATAATAATAATAATAATAATAATAATAATAATAATAATAATAATAATAATAATAATAATAATAATAATAATAATAATAATAATTGTTATTGTGATTATTATTGAGGTGATTATTATTATTATTATGATTATTATTATTATTATTATTGTTATTGTTTTTATTATTGTTATTATTATTATTACTCCATATTATTATTATAATTATTATTATTATTATTATTATTATTATTATTATTATTATTATTATTATTATGATTATTGTTATTATTATTATTATTACTTATTTTTATTATTATACAGAGTAATTATAATTATAATTATAGAAATAATTATAATTAAAAATATAATTACAATTATAAATATAGCTATAAATATAATCAGTGTAGTAGGTATAATATTTTATAACTTTAATTATAATTATAATTATAATTATAATTATAATTAAATATTTTTAGAATTATGACTATAATTATAAATTATATTTAAATTATATTTATAATTACAATTATAATTATAATAATTATAATAATAATTACAGAAATATTCAGATCAGGTTAGAACGATTCAGATCAGATCAGATCAGATCAGATCAGAAAGATTCAGATCAGATCAGAAAGATTCAGATCAGATCAGATCAGAAAAATTCAGACTAGATCAGAACTTAATAAATTCAGATCAGAAACATTCTGATCAGACGAAGAGAACAGCTTCTAAACTCTAAAGTAAGTACTACTATCTCTGTAACTTATAAACCTTCCCACTTAAAAGGGGGAAAATGGAAACTAATAATCTAA